TTCTCTGTGCCTCATTAGCAGCAAAAACGGTCTGCCAATAAGGTAGTCAGGAGGATTAAGTGCATGTTTTGTTTTTCTTCAGTGCTTTGAACAGTATCTGGCACAGAGAAAGCACTCAGTAATGGACAGTTAGTATAAATACCATGAGGTGCTTTGGGTGATTAATAAGAAAAAAACAACAACAACTAACCAAGCCTCTGCCTTCAAAGACCTCACAGAGTACATGGGGTGGCAAATGGAATGTACGTAAAAGGAGCACTAGCAACTCAGGCAGTGCCCACAATACACTTCAACTCGAGGGCAGTGAGGTCAGCATGACTCAGGTGGTTCAGGAAAGCCCTCAGTTCTCATCAGGTGAGGACTTCAGGCATCTACACTGAAAGGTAGTGAGAATTCGTATAACTTCCTTGCCTCTGGTTTGACGAAGGGTACAACTGGTCATTTACATTCATGTTCACATCCTCACTGATATCTGTCTTTTTGAAATAGGCAGGTTGAAGTTACCTCATTGAAGAGCAGAAAATATATGAGATATATATATATATATATATAAATTTTTTTTTTGAGACAGGGTTTCACTCTGTCATCCAGGCTGGAGTGCTGTGGTACAATCTCGGGTCACTGCAACCCCCACCTCCCACGCTTAAGTGCTCCTCCCACGTGAGCCTCCTGGGTAGCTGGGACTGGGACTACATGCACACGCCACCATGCTTGGCTCACTTTTGTGTCTTTTCTAGAGACGGGCCTTGAACTCCATGTTGCCCAGGTGGGTCTCGAACTCCTGGACTCAAACGATCTGTCCACCTTGGCCTCCCAAAGTGCTGGGATTATGGGCATGAGCCACCACACTCAGTCAATATGGGCTATATTTAACTTAACAAAGTTGAGTTGGTGACCTGATGTCAACCACCTAAGGTTTGCAGGAACTCAAGGGTGACATTGTCAACATTGCCCCAAATATGTGTTTGGTGATAAGAAAGCACCTTTAAGGAAGGACATTGGTGATGGCCAACATAACTCTTATTAACAGGAAGAATTTCCCAGAGGCCTTGAGATGTGCATCTGAGTGGCCCCACTTTTTGTTTTTCTTTTGTTTTGTTCTTGTTTACCTTAAAAACAATTAATGCCTGGGAATATAATGTATAATATGGTGACTATACTTAAGAATACTGTATTGTATATTTGAAATTCACTAAGAGAGTAGTTCTTAAATGTTCTTACCACAAAAATAAGGATAACTATGTGAGGTGATGAATAGGTTAATTAGCTGGTTTGGGATAATCATTTCACAATGTGTACTTATATCAAAACATCACAATGGAAGCGTACATGTATTTAACTTTTATCAAGTCTACCTCAGGAAAGGTGGAAAAACATTTTAATTAACTGCCATATAAAATCTCATTCATTATATATTTAACTATTATAAAGGTTAAAAATCGTCATGGTAAAAATATTTTAAATGATAGAAGTATATTTTAAAAAACAAGATTTCACTGCGTCTCCCTATGCTCACTCACTGAAAGTGACTGCTCTTATTTTCTTATGTATCCATCTAAAATTTTTCTGGGCATATTTGAACACGTATAGGGTGTATAACATATTTGAACATGTACATCTAGACCCATTTTCACTGCAGATGCTATTTGTGTCTGTTATAATGTATCTCAGACTTGATTCCATATCAACACATACAGATCTACTTTGCCCTATTAATGTGTTCATAGTATTTCACTCTAACATTCATTACTTTTAAAAGTTGGTTCAATATTTTATCTGGCTAAGGCACAAAGGATAGAGACATGAGAAACAGAAAAAGATACTGAGAGTTGGGGGAGAGGTATCAACATACCTAAAGGATGGTGTAAGAACACAGAGTTTTTAACTAGTGGCACTAAACTTTAGCAACTATAGGCATCAGTTGGACCAGGACTTTTGGTTACCGCCTTGTGAAGTAGATGCAATAATGGCAAGTTTTAGGTCTAAGCCACAGGGCAGCTATTCCCAACACTCCTGTAACCAGAAACCATGCTTAATTTGGCTGGAGTCCTTTGGGGATTTAAATAGCACATGGATAGAGCAGAACAGGAGATGTTATTTCAACTTTCAGAAAGTTTGGCAAGCTTTGAAACCCAAAGCTGTCTTTTTAAAATGGAGTCACTGTGGGATCGAGGAGCAGTGTTTAGCCCTAGGTCTTTATCCATGGCTGTGAGATAAGAAATTTTTAAAAATACATAGCTAAAGGGGCGCTTTTCTGAATGGGAGAAAATATTACAGTAGGACCACAAAGGATCAGCTGTGGGACTAATTTGATTTAATGTTTATAATGGTTTTGGAAGCCGGAGTATGGGGCAAAATCACTAAGTTGGCAGATGTCTTCACACTATTCCAGTGAGGATAAGAAGCTTCAGGAAGACGCTTGTTTTATAGGAGTGGACATAAAAGTGGCTGGCAAACTTTGATATGAAAAAGACCAAGGATATGTCTCTAGGGAGACATTCCTGAAGTTCACTTCAGAAGATTTATAATGAGCCTTACTTCTTTATCTGCAAATAAGGTCTCTGCTCCAGGCATCAGTAGGAGTTAAAGAAGAGAAGATGGAGTTGGTAGTATCATCAGAAGGTGGATGACATTTAAACGGACGGCATTATATGAACATAAAAGAGGAGGCTAGTAGTGAGCTGATTCCCACCAGATAAAGAATGTTCCTTTATGTTTCTTTAAAACAGCCCCCAAAGTCAATTGTTATGTGATGATTGGTGATCTGTGTATTCACTAATTAACTTTTAAAGTTAAATAATCTGAATGTGTTAAGCTACCATTTTAGAAGAAATGCAATCAAATGTGCTCTTCAGCATCTTTGCTACAAAATATTTTCCTTCTCAGAGGATGACTTTTAGTTATGAATGTCAGAACTAGATTTCCTGACCTCCTCTGTTACCATGCATGATTTTCAAAGTATGTCCTTAATGTTGACAGATACGTTGTATCACGGATGGGGACATTAACAGAATGAGATTAGTATTCTCTGAAGTTGTGAAGTTTTCAGTAATGAAGAGATAATGCCCTATCTACCTCTCAACTTCACGGTGTGGTTGAGAAGCTCAAATGAGCTGAGTGATATGAAACTGCTTTATAAAGTGCTATGCAAAAATATGGTAGTGTTAATTATTATTTGTACTTCATAATTTGGGATTAGAAATACAAACTGACTCAAATCTAAGAATTTATCCTTTATAGATATAAATGCAAATGCATGAAAATCAGTATACAAGGATGTTCTCTGCAGCATTGTTTATATTAACAAAGTACTACAAATTATTGTTCATCAGTAAAGTATTGTATAAATAATTAATTATTGAGCCATACAGAGGAATAAGAACAAGGCAGTTTTATGTTTTCTAACATGAAAATGTGTCCAAAGGATACATTTTGTTTTAGTTTTTGTTTTGAGATAGGGTCTCACTCTGTCACCCAGGCTGGAGAGCAGTGGTGTGATCATAGCTCACTGCAGCCTTGACCTCCTGCGCTCAACAATTCAGCCTCTAAAGGTGTGCACCACCAGGCCTGGCTAATTTTTTATATTTTTTGTAGAGATGGGGTTTCACCATATTGCCCAGGCTGGTCTCAAACTCCTGGGCTCAAGTAATCCTCCTGTGTCGGCCTTCCAAAGTGCCGGGATTACAGGCCCAATCCAAAGTATATATTTTAAGTGATACAAAGCTGCAAATCAGTGTCAGTAGTATCATTCCAATTTTGGTTAAAACTACCCATTAGCATATGTAGGTGAAAACCTCTACAAGTATATCAAACCGTTGACCATGATCTACTCTTAGAAAGACAGATTAATGGGGGAACTTTTACTTTCTGCCTTATTTCTGTACTTCTTGAGTTGTTTACAATGAACATTATCATTTTGTAATTAAAAATATGAATTACTGGTATCAATTATAACCCTGGCTATCCTATTATCATTGGGAAAAAAATATATGAAGAGAGAGAAAAGCCCTGGGAATCTTTTCATTTCTTTAAGAAAGCATTTCATTATCAGGATCAGGAGCAAGTAAAAAAGAGCTCAAAACCTTTTTCTCTCTCTGGCAATGGGGCTCTGGCGTTTCCACATGATGAAAGCATAAGGAATAAATGAAATCTGTTTCTTGTTTGCTTTGTTTTGCAAAATGAGGAATAATTCTATGTAGAGGTCTGGAACCATGGGTGCAATAAAGAAACCACCTCATTTGTGAATCACTGTCCCATTGAAGTTGGCAAAACCCCACACTGGAAAGCAGAATTGCCTAGGTCTTTAAATAGTTACCCTTCTTATGATGGTGAGGATGTCCATATCTACCTTGAAACTTCACTTCTGGAGTAAAGGCTGTGGTTTATCCTGCAGGAGCACATTAAAATCTTCCCTTAGGCTGGTGTTCTCTCCTCTCATGGAGAATGCAGAGGGAAGCTGGCAGGTGTAATTTATGCTGCAAGTGACTTGAGAAGGCCTCCTGAATAGAAACCCAACTCCATAGCCTACAGGAAATGGTGGGAGGAGGAAGAAGGGAAGGAAGAGGTAAAGCACATGGAAGACTCTCTTTCAAATGAGTCGAAGGCTCACACTGAGTGAAGGTTCATTCTGTGTGCTTCACTGTCCATGACCTGAACCTCCGCTAGCACAGGTCTAATCACTCTGCCTTGTCACTGGTCCTTGTTCTTCTAGACTCTCCACTAGACTGAGAGCACAATAAGGGCCAGACCTTGTCTGTCTTGTTCATTGTTGTATCCCCGACGTGTAGAACAAAAAAAGGATGTTGAATATATTTGTTGACTGTTGAATGAATATTCCTTTACTGTAAATAGACAGTATGTGAAGTGGTCTACTTTTGCACCATGAAGTCATCTCATGAGATTGTGGTCAGCCTGACTGCTGATGCCAAATACAGTTGGCTTTTCCTTTGTTTGGGACTTTCTTTGACAAACCTTTTTGTAATTTACCTTCACCTTTACAGATACAGCCAAAAGGCGGCAAGGAATGGAATGAAAAATCAGTTCAACCTCCATGAGCTGAAAATGAAGGGCCCTGAGCCAGTTGTCAGCCAAATTATTGACAAACTGAAGCACATTAACCAGGTATGTGGAATGTAAAAAAAGAATAATAATAAAAAGAAATGACCAGAGAGAGAGATAGAGCTTCTACTGTTCAAACTATATTCTTGGGCTTTTAGAGAGGAAGCTATTATTCATTTTTCTTCCAATAGTCTTTCTGTTTAAAAGGACTTCTGGCCTTCATTTTTTACACCACTTTTAAATTATAAAGACAATATTGCAATATGAGGGATAGCTTGGAAAATAGAGGGAAAACATTTCTCACAAAAATCCCACTACTGTATCCCAACTTTTTCATTTTCACATGTTCTCTTCTAATATTTGTCTAGAAGGGCACACTCATATAGACGTTTTCCATAATCAGAAATCCACAAGTGATTGGTAGTTCTGAAAATTAATACTATCTTGATAACACTTTTTCATGTTGCCACAAATCTTTTTGTTATTGTTATTGTTGTTTTGTTTTGTTTTGTATTGTTTTGAGACAGGGTCTTGCTCTGTTGCCCAGGCTGGAGCACAGTGGCGCAATCGTGGCTTACTGCAGTCTGGACCTCCTGGGCTCGAGATATTCCCGTGCCTCAGCCTCCCGAGTAACTGGTACTATAGACATGCACCACCACACCTGGCTAACTTTTAATTTTTTTGTAGAAATGAGATCTCGCCATGTTGCCCAGGCTGGTCTCGAACTCCTAGGCTCAAACAATCCTCCTGCCTTGGCTCCTCAAAGTGCTAGGACTACCGGCGTGAGCCACCAGGCCTGCTCCCACACAAATCTTTATATTAATCATTTGTTATGGCTGCATAATATTCTGTTGAGTATTCATCATCATTAGCATAATTAATCAGCATGCTTTTGCTGGATATACAGGTTGCTTCAAATTTTTGCCGTCATAGAAAAGGTACCTCCTTATACATGGTGCTTTATCCTGATCTTAGCTTATTTTCTTAAAATGCTAAAGTTATTGGGTGAAAGGATATGAGCAACTTAAATGCATGTCTCCAAATTGCTTTTCAATGAGAATGTATCAGTTTTCACTGCCACCAGCAAGACATGAGAGGTCCAGTTTCACTGCATCCTTGCCAGCTTCTGACTCAGTGCCATGCACAGAGACACCCACAGATTCCCTTGACCTGTACAAATAGTTTTTCCTCTCATAAGAAGTTTAGTAACAAGACACAAACGTTAGTTGTACCATCTGCTTGTGATTGCTTTGTGGCCACAATAAAAATGCCACCAAAAAGGCATATATCAGAGTGACAGTGTTCCTGCCCCATGATCCATGGGTGGGAGGACTCTGGCCTAACTGACTTCTATTTGTAGTTTAGGAAGAACTTAATGAAACTGAAATCTTTATGTAAGACAGAGGCTTTAGTACAAAGACATTGGCATGATTTTTTAAAATATAGATTTTAGCAGTGAAATTTTTGTGGTTCTTAAAAAATACTTAGAAGGCCTTTTTAAAGGTAGTATATTTTTCACTACAATTGCATTGTGAAAGTATTGACAATATGCTTGGATTTAAACTCCTCCAGCATTAGCTGTTAGTGCTGCTGAGCACATGATAATGACAGTGTCTACCTAACTGAGCCTTTTTTTGTGTGAAAGTATAACTTTACTAAGTTCTATCAAGCCTCACTAGATATAGTGTGATTATTTCAAAATGCGTCTCTGAGGGTATCAGAGCACAGACAATGTAAAATGCATACTACTGAGTTGAGAACATGATATGCCTCACTTGGGGACAGTGGTACAAATTATCTCAAACCAAATGTGTCTATGCTCAACTGGTTAGACCCCAACACTGGTGAGGCCAAAATCTCAGTTTCCATCACTGTGCCCCTAATCCTAAATGAGCAATGTTGTCAACAGGTCCCTTGGGTCAACAGACTTTAAGGATTACCTACTATGTACTCAGCCAGGTGCCAGGGACTGTGGGTATTCAAAGGAAGTCGAGTCCTCTGTCCTCACAGCCTCCTTGAGAGAGGAAGCACAAGCATAGGAAGTGGTTAAATAAAGATAAAGGGCAGCCTGTGATGCAGAGCCTGAAGAGGGGTGCTGCTCATCAGTTTTGGGGGATATGATTAGGCTAGTGGGAAGATTGCAGACAGGGGCAAGTGTTAAGATCTTCGGCCATAAGCAATGAGTAGGGTTTGAGTAGGTAAAGACAAGCAAGGGAGAGGCAGTCATAAAAAAGATCGGGTGAAGACCTGTGCGTGGACCACACCCTAGCAAATGGGAAACCTGCAACAAAAATGGGCTTCAATATGATCTGGCAGTCACTAAAAAATATTTATAGCAAGCCCTTTCAGCAAAGGCCTTGGGCACAGTAGAAAGAATATGGGCTTTGGGTCCAAATGGATCTGAATTCAGTTATAGATTTTACTAGACAAATAACCTTAGGTAAATCAGTTAACCTTTCTGAGCTTTAGCTCTCCCATCTGTAGTATGATAAAGGTATAAAAAGTTCCAGTGTATCGATATTATATACATATATATAATATGCATATGTTACATACATATATATGTATATAATATATGCAGTGTATATATACATATACAGAATATACATATACATAGATATATGTAATTACATGTGCATGACAGGCACTTAATACATGGCAGTTACTTATGAGAATTATGTTTAGTATTTTCTCTATAGGCAGGACTTGAGTTTGAAAGAAGTTTCAGTACTTTCTGCTAGTCTAATTCTTCTCCCTGAGTTTTGCATGTTTGTAGATCCCTTTGATGCATCTCTTGTTTCTCTTTTTTTTAAAGAATTTTTCACATGATCTTTATTTTTTATTTTTATTTTTTATTTTACTTTTAAGTTCTGGCATACATGTGCAGATCTTGCAGGATTGTTACATAGGTATACGCATGCCATGGTGGTTTGCTGCCTCCATCTCCCCGTGACCTGCATTAGGTATTTCTCCTAATGTTATCCCTCCCCAATCTCCCCACCTCCTTCTATCCCTCCCCTACCCTCCAACCCCCAACAGACCCCAGTGTGTGATGTTCCCCTCCCTGTGTCCATGTCCATGTGTTCTCATTGTTCAACACCCACTTATGAGTGAAAACATGTAGTGTTTGGTTTTCTGTTCTTGCGTCAGTTTGCTGAGAATGATGGTTTCCAGATTCATCCATGTCCCTGCAAAGGACATGAACTCATCCTTTTTTATGGCTGCATAGTATTCCATAGTGTATATGTGCCACATTTTCTTTATCCAAACTACCATTGATGGGCATTTGGGTTGGTTCCAAGTCTTTCCCATTGTAACAGTACCGCAAGGAACATACGTGTGCATGTGTCCTTATAATAGATTGATTTATAATCCTTTGGATATAAACCTAGTAATGGAATTCTTGGGTCAAATGGTATTTCTGTTTCTAGATCCTTGAGGAATCCCCACACTGTCTTCCACAATGGTTGAACTAATTTACACTCCTACCAACAGTGTAAAAGTGTTCCTATTTCTCCATATCCTCTCCAGCATCTTTCTCCAGATTTTTTAATGATTGCCATTCTAACTGGTATGAGATGGTATCTCATTGTGGTTTTGATTTGCATTTCTCTAATGACCAGTGATGATGAGCATCTCTTCATATGTTTGTTGGCCGCATAGATGTCTTCTTTTGAAAAGTGTCTGTTCACATGCTTCGCCCACTTTTTGATGAGATTGTTTTTTTCTTATATATTTGTTTTAGCTCTTTGTAGATTCTGGATATAAGTCCTTTGTCTGATGGGTAGCTTGCAAAAATTTTTTCCCATTCTCTTGGTTACCGGTTCAATCTAATGATTGTTTCTTTTGCTGTGCAGAAGCTCTTAAGTTTAATGAGATCCCATTTGTCTATTACGGTTTTTGTTGCCATTGCTTTTGGTGTTTTAGTCATGAAGTCCTTGCCCATGCCTATGTCCTGGATGGTATTGCCTAGGTTTCCTTCTAGGGTTTTTATGGTGTTAGGTCTTATGTTTAAAACTTTAATCCATCTGCAGTTGATTTTTGTATAAGGTGTAAGGAAGGGGTCCAGTTTCTGCTTTCTGCACATGGCTAGCCAGTTTTCCCAACACCATTTATTAAACAGGGAATCATTTCCCCATTGCTTGTTTTTGTCTGGTTTGTCAAAGATTAGATGGTTATAGGTGTGTGGCGTTACTTCTGAGGCCTCTGTTCTGTTCCATTGGTCTATATCTCTGTTTTGGTACCAGTACCGTGCTGTTACGATTCTTTCTCTTTCTCTGCCATATTGTCTCCTTCTTTTCCTCTCCTTTAACTTTCAGCCACAAAAGCTGAAACCAGCTCACAGGTAGGGAGGTGTACATAGAGTGAGAAAGGTCACTATGACAATTCCTTTTTCCTGCATAGCTCTGGCCATGAATAAGTGTGTGAACATTTTCAGTTTCCATACAAATACCATTGAGCAACCAATTAATTCTCATTGGTAAACCAGTTTTACCTGTTTCAGTTGAGCTGTTAAAATTTGTTGGCCTCCAAACACCCACATTGATTTTTTTTTTCTCATCTGTGTTGCTTTATATAGCCAAAAGACATTTTTTCAGTCCTTAACTAAAATTCATATTTTGGCCATGATTCGATCTGAAAGTGAGATGATTTAGGGAATTCATAAAGAAAAAAGTTATGATGATGATGATGATGATGATAATAATGTGTTGTCTTTGTACAGCATTTACCCATATTTCAAAGTGATGTCATGTTCTAAAGTCTAACTGCTTAGAAAAAAAAATCCAACCGGAATTATATAAGATATAAAACTGTGACAAAATCTTTCCTATAACTCATTATTACTCTTAAACCTTATCTCATTTTCACTGTTTTTTGGGAGGTTAGTGATAAATAATGTTTATCCTTTTTATAGTAAGAGAAACTGAGGCAGAAAGCCGTTAATGGCTGTGTAGACATGCTGTCAAAAGATCCAGTAATTTCAGTTGAAAATTCAATCAGTCATCCAGATGTTTCCTATACACTGCCAAACTTCTGGATTCACTGAATGCCTGACTAAATTG